GAAAGCTGTCGTCTTCTATGTCCAACATGTTCATGCTGGACGGACACGAAGCAGTCGTCAAACGGACTACTAAGTGCTACCAGGTGTAACGGGGCACCCTTTGTTTGGGGTGCCGCGAAACTTCACGTACACTAGTACGTGCAGAGGAAGCTACATTACTTCAGAGACTCGGTCAAGTAGGGGTTGAAAGAGAACTGTATTTAGTGTTGTTAAGCCATCAATATAACTTTAGTCTGTATCTAACTACATTAAGCTACGTCGGCGTATGACGACAACCTGCTGACAACTCATTGCGCGCGTCTAGCAGTGATTAGTGGCAATCTATGATTGATATGTCTAATATCAACCAAACTTGGACCAGCGCATAAATATTATCTATCTCGGATAATATACATTCGATATTATCTATCTCGGATAATCTTGGTAAAACATTGTCAGGCTAGACAATTTTCCTGTTGACACCGTTCGGTGTCAATTTTTTGTAACAGGCTACCCCGTAACATAGTCGATCTATTGTTCATAGCATGCCGAGCTTTGATCAATTAGCTCTAAATTATATTGGTCCATTCTGTATAATTTAGCGCTGAGTCCGCTGAGTCGTTTCAAGTGCTGAAACCTATCTGCAATAACTGCCTTCGTAATGAGATTCGCAGCCTTATTAGCCGCCCTGCCCTTTTAACGAAATATCTATTTCTCTTCACTTGGTCGCGAACATAGTTCCAGCGCAATTCAATGCGCCGTGTACGCCGACTGAATACTGGATCCTTTGACATGGGTGGTATATCTATATGACCTGCAAGGCCATCCTCAAATTGCGCCAGAAGAATGTAGATTGCGCCAGACGATAGAAGATTGCGCCAGACGAACGAACATTGCGCCAGCCTTTTTATAAAATTACACCAAAAGAGCCTACCAATTGTAACACTTCTCCTCAATATAATCATTCTCCGTTTCACTACATTAGACTCGAGCCCCGATGCAAGCCTCAAGCCGATTTGTCATTTTATCATCAAATTTGGCGTATTTGGACATGCCCCGTACGAGAATCTCGTCGCCATCATCATGAGTCAAATTGACGACGAACACGTTACGTACACCATCGTGACGTGTTAAGAAAGTTTGACATCACCAGCTGACGTTGCCAGAAGAAGATACAGCGCTAATGCAGCTATTCATCGAAGGAATGGCTCACATAGAGCATGCAGCTTCGAATCCTCGCAAACAAAAGTCTGTAGAGCTGAACAACTGTCCGTTTAACTGCTTACTCCGATTGACGGTGATCTCTTGCGCGAAGTAAAGTGCATTGCCAGCTCTTCCTTTAATCAAGGCTTGACTTTTTAAGACTATTACCGTGAGGTTGTGATTCTCCTGGTCCCAGCGGACTACTTTATGGACGTTGATGAAGATCTATAAACCCTTACCAAGCTCAGAGAAGATGCGGTACAACACTGCGCGGCACGGCTACGACAGCATGCACAGATGTACGCCGAGTCGCTTCAGGATGCGCAAACCAAATCTCAGCTTAAACAATGTTGCTATTTCCGCCGATCCATGCCGCCGAACTGGCAGGACAAGCTTGCGTGTTGTGAGATTTGTTTGAGATGATGAAAGAGCTGACGATGTATTTCGAGCGCCTCCAAGGCGCGAGAGGGAGACTGGCCGGGATCGCATGAATGGTCCAGCTATCCACGGTGGTGAAAAGGTTCAAGGTCGACGCGACCAACTACGCCCTTCCGCTCACCGTCGCAGAGATCAACGCAACCATCGCAAGCGTTGCGGCACCCGTCAAGATTGTCAAGACTGACCGGGTGTACAAGGCGGCAAAAAGAAACATGAAAGCTTCAAAAAACAGGTGTAGTGGTTTTCATTTCACAAACTAAGATTTCACGATTCATAAAATGCTTTGCACCCAAGAAGTAATGCGAAGAGCACAAGCCTGCCGAGATGAAGCAACCTGCTCGGAACAAAGGTCGATTCTACGATTTAAAAAAGAAGTGGCAATCGACAGTGACTTAGACAACGAGCTAGAGCTTGTCAGACTCGTCAAGAAGAAAAGTCGAGTGTTAAGCTCGCCCCGCTACGCATCACGGTACAAATCATTGACGCGAGTGGATCCCTTAATGAACTGCTACACGGTAGTGCCTCGCAGAGCATTATCAACCAAGAAACTAGGCGAGCCAATGCTCAGCTTGGGCACAGACAAGTCGGGGTAGCGACAAAGTTTCAGACAGTCAACGCAGAGGTCACTAGTTCTGGAAGTACAATTGTACGATTTCGCTTTTTGGCTCTCAAGCCTTCGACCATAATCACGCACAAGTTCAAAATTCTGGATCAGGGCCAAGATACTGTGGTGGTCGGTCGCGACATCCTGAATGGTACGGAAACTATGCTCAATTATAAAGAAGATTGTAATTCAGTGGATTTGTCACTATACTCATTTGAACACCGGCGGTTTATCATCTCCCAACGCGAGTGATCATAAATTCCTTGACGAGAGCAGAAAATCTCGACAACAATGCAGTGCGACCAGAAGACCTCATGCCAGACCGGATATACGAACCACTCGTCGGCAAATATCTCAAGTCTTTTGGCGACAACGAGCAACTTTATGACGGTCACTTGGGGAAAATGATATTCGTGGTTTGCGCTCTACCAATAGTACCGGAGTACAAGCCTCTACAGGCAAACCTAAGTCTGTCCCAAAAGCCTCGAAAACGGCTGGGGAGCTCTACCAGCATTCAATTAACATCGACGATCTGGAGTAGAATTTTGATTTAAAACTATCATCGCCTGCTGTTTTAAAGTATCCCAACGGATCACTTCGTAGCTTATAGACTTACGCGGACTCAGCTGATCTCTAAAACGCAGCCCTTTTTACGTCCCACACATACGCGAGATCCGGTTGCGTCTCGCAGGCGCCAAGTATTTGTCAACATTCGATGCAAACATGGGGTGTCAGACGCGTCGTCTTGCTGCCCCAAGCTGAGATCATACAGCTTTCTGTCATCTATTCGGGAAGCGACTCCCACTGGGGATATCTACAGCGCCGGACAAATAGTAGACCTGCATGGAGAAGATTTTCTACGATCGTGCTTTTGTGGTCGTTCTGCTTCAATGATATTCTCGTCCATTCCAATGGTGAGGAGACGCATCTAGTGCACCTACACATTGTGTTCAAGCGACTTACTAAGTATGATGTGACTCAAAACGGAAGGAAGTGCCACATCCTTAGACATTACGTCGACTATTCTAGCTTCACGCTGACATTTTAAGGGGTAACAAAACAAGATTTAAGGCATACAACAAATTTCCGTCGCCAAGACCAGGAAGGAACTATGCAGCTTCCTTGGAATGATTAGTTAATATCAATATATAGTACCTAACAAGACGGCATTGTGCTACCCTTTCAACCGCTTCACCAGCCTTAAAGTCCCGTTCGACTGGTTGTCTAGCGACACGGAAGCATTCCACGCAGTCTAGAAAGTGTTTGCATAAGCCTAACTGCTTTCTTCTCTTGTCTTTGAGCAACCACTTACGTCTACGCCGATGCCAGCGGAAAGCAAACTGGTGGTATTTTTATGCAGAAGATTTAAACTCTCGCCTGCTATTCACGAAGTCTCAACAAGCACTAAGTAAATTACACGACGATGAAACTTAATCTTCTCTCTTATTTTTAGATTGCAGCACGAGTACCGCACCGTGTTTCTCGGTTTCCCTGTGGTTGTTCACACCGACCATAAGAACATAATCTATCCAACCGAAACCAGCCTGCGCGTTAAGCGCTGGGTCTCCTGCTGGCTGTACAGGCCCTCTTTGCATTACATTCAAGGAACCAAACACATTGGTGCTGATGCGTTTTCCCAGATGAGATTTGATGCCACAAAAACAAAGACTCATTTGCAGCTCGCGGGCGATATTTGTGCTACCGCTGATGAGCCAAATTGTGTCATGCATGGTCCGGTTGTTCGCGAACATTAAAATAAGGACGTGATGATCCAGGAAATCAAGACAGCTTGCCTCAGCGGCTCAACAATCCTAACTATCAGCTTTTACAGCTTCTCAGCTGCACGCTAATCGCGTATCAAAGGCGTGTCATCGTGCCCGATAGCTTGCGTCAAGATCTCATTCGCTGGCATCATTTAACGCTCAGTCCTTCTGATGGTGAACGACAATACAAATGGATAAGGCAGGTTCATAACTGGCCTGAAATAAAAGCCGCGAACACTAGGGATTAAAAGATTGTCTAATTAGCAAGAAGGCAAAGGTCCACGTAGGCAAGTTGTGTAACGGGGTAGTCCGTTACATGAAATTGACACCGAACGGTGTCAATAGAAAAATTGTCTAGCATGACAAGGTTTTACCAAGATTATCCGAGATAGATAATATCGAATGTATATTATCCGAGATAGATAATATTCATTTGCTGCTCCAAGTTTGGTTGATATTAGACATATCAATCATAGATTGCCACTAATCACTGCTGGACGCGCGCAATGAGTTGTCAGCAGGTTGTCGTCATACGCCGACGTAGCTTAATGTAGTTAGATACAGACTAAAGTTATATTGATGGCTTAACAACACTAAATACAGTTCTCTTTCAACCCCTACTTGACCGAGTCGCTCAAGTAATGTAGCTTCCTCTGCACGTACTAGTGTACGTGAAGTTTCGCGGCACCCCAAACAAAGGGTGCCCCGTTACACCTGGTAGCACTTAGTAGTCCGTTTGACGACTGCTTCGTGTCCGTCCAACATGAACATGTTGGACATAGAAGACGACAGCTTTCATGTCACACGTGAAGGCTACTCCCACCTGAGTGTCCTCAGAATGGGAGGTAGTCGGCCGCATGAGTGTGCTCATGGGCGAACCCGCCATCAGTGGTATGTTGTAGTCTCTGAGCAGAGACCAGCAACATGCTGCTATCAACAAGTTCCTACAAGGAGAACTTGCCATCGAACGACAGAAGATAGCCTTGCTATAGCAGCAAGGCTCTCATAAGTCGATGGGTGGGCCGACGCACTTGCGTCGACCCGAAACCTTGAAGATTGGTATCTCAAGGTACAAGGGAACCGATGGAGATTCCCTTTTGAGATGGTTCGTCGAGCTAGACGACGCCACCAGGGCCCGTCACATCGAGGGTGACGAGACGCAAGTCACCTTCGCCCTGACAGATTTGACGGGACGAGCAAAGACTTGGGCCTTAGGGCTCAAGCGTCACGGCCCAAACGTGTTTGAGTCGTTAGAGATCTTGAAGTCTCGACTCAAAGATACGTTTGAGCCGCCGAGAGCCAAGTTCAGAGCATGCTCTGCACTTCTGAGGCTAAAGCAAGGTAAGCGTGATGTGCACGCTTACGCACAGCACCTTCGCTACCTTGTGAGTAGCGTTACGGAATACCCTGTTGATGAGCACATGCTCATCAACGTGTTCTTTTACGGCCTTGTGGATAGGCCAGTGAAGACCTACGTGTTCCGAGAGGACTTCCATACGCTGGAAAAGGCGATAGCGTATGCGGAACAAGAAGACTTCAGCCAGAGACAGTCTCAGGCTAACTCGTCAAACTATCGTCCGACGAGACGACAGGAAACAGGAGGTCCCGAACCAATGGACCTCTGTTACATCTAGAGCGAGAACTCTCGCTCTCTGAGTCACAAACAAACGGCAAGATGCCATCGCTGTCAGAAGATTGGACACTACGCTCATGGGTGTAGTGTCCTAGGTACCGCAACACGTCCAAAGACAGGACGTGATGACCGCCGTTGGCCGAGGAATGGTCCAAGGCGCGGGTCCGACCATGTCGCTAAGCTGCGACAGCAAGCCGGACCGTCGAAAAAACGGTCAGGGTCAGTAGGGGCGGAGCACCCTGCTGATCCAGCAACGTCAAGAGAATTTGCTAGACTCTTGACGAATATTGCTCCCAACACAAAGTCTCTGTGTGTTACTGCCCTTAGTGATGAGGAGTCTCTCATCACTTTGAAGATCGAAGTGACAGGTGGTATGTCACTTCGCGCCCTAGTTGACTGTGGGGCGTCCAACAGTTTTATTCGACGCCAATCATTAGGGGATAGTAGACAAAACTATGTTGAGCGAGGAGTCCCTCCAACGAGGATGACGGCGTGCCTTGCTACAGGCGCGTCCGTAACAGTGAACAAACGTGTAGTGGGAATCCACTACACGCTAGAAGAAAAGCAGTACAATGATGACTTTGTCGTACTAGATTTAAATGACAAATTTGATGTCATCCTTGGTCTGCCATGGCTTAGAAAATACCAGTCATGGGTTAGCTGGCAGCATCGATCCGTGAAGATGCCTGCCGTTTGTTCATCGGACGTCCATATGATGAACGTCTTGGAGCGTCCACAAGCGTGTAGATGTACTACGAGTGAGTGCGATGGCCTCACTTGTGGTACGGTCGTTAGTACGATTGCACAAGATCACAGTGTAGAAGGCCACTACACTGTGGAACCAGCTTCCGGCACCTGTGTAAAGACACAGGCTGCGCCGAAGGCTCACCACTCGAAGAGATCGAGCGGACTGGAACACGGATGTACAACAAGAAGAGTGCATCCGAGAAGAGAGAGTAGTGTTGTTCAAGATGGACAACACGTTGAAGCGAGATCGGCTATCATAGAGTCGATCGTAGAGAAATCCCGCTCGACTGAAATAGAGTCGATCGAAGAGTACGTGACCGTGATAGTACACGGAATGGAAGAAACTTCCGGCGTTCCTGAGAGTGATAACTCCCGAGAGAGTTATGTTGAGGGTGTGGATCCCCGACCACCTGCGGATGTGTTTTCCCAGGAAATCACCGAGACAGTGAATGTCTTGGTGAAGTACGGATCAAGTGTAGGCGCTTATACACTTGATCTGGTTACACCTCCGAAGTCAGCTTCGGAGGTAGTCAAGTTGCCAACGCTAGAATCTAAAAGATTCTTTTGAGATCTGCGTAGTGACAAGATCAAACAGATCCTCTTTCCCGTCACAGAGGACGAGTACGTCACCGATATCCGGTCGGCACAAGTGTTTGCTGAGAACGATCGGGTTATCAGTAGCTCATCAATGAATAACAGTGTCTTAAATGAGAAAACTCGGATTGAGCGATACACGTCTCAATGTTGGGAGTCTTAGAAGACAATTTCTTTATATAAGGATTTGGTTGAATTCAGGGATGTTTTCCCGTAGTCCGTGCCATGCGAGCTGCCTAAGGACAAATGCACTCGGCATGAGATCAAACTGAAACACAGTTCGAAATACTGTGTCATGAAGCAGTGGCCACTGCCTCGTGAACAGGTAACAGCGATCGACAAATTTTTTGCCGATCGTTTAGCGGCTGGTCATGTGAGGGAATCAACATCTCGACACAGCTCTCCGACCTTCTGTGTGCGAAAGGCCACAGGAGTGTAGCGGATAGTGCACGCATTCAACAAATTGAACGCTGCAACCGTACCGGCTCAAACGCCGATCCCAAGAAAGGACGTCATCATAGATGGTGTGGCAAAAAGTACCATATTTTCGTCCATGGATCTTATGGATGAATTCTATCAGATCCTCATGCGTGAACGGTTTATCCCTTACACAGCAGTGGGCACCCCCAGTGGTATGCTCTGATAGTGGCTAGTGATGCCACAGGGGCTAAGTAACGCCCCCGCAACGTTCAACAGATGTGTTACGAACCTGTTGCGATAGGTGCAAGATTTCGTACCGAGTTACTTCGACGATGTCTCCGTACATAGCCGGGCTATGGATGGAAAGACGGACGTGGAGGTTCATAGAATCCACGCCCGGAAGGTTTTTGCACTAATGCGAGAGCATAGGTTGTTCGCGAACCTCAAGAAGTTTACTTTTTGCAGCAACCGCAATGCCACTTCTTGGCTGCATCGTGGGTAAAAACGGTGCACGCCCTGATCCGGAAAAGATCAAGGCGATTAGCGACTGGTCTGTGCCATTCGACTTATGGGGCCATCAAGGTTCCTTAGATCAGCAGCGTACTTGGACAAGTACTCGCGCAACTACGCCGGGATGACCGTACTCCTCTCTCGTCTGCTTAAAAATAACGAGAGATGGTCATGGAGTGCTGAGTGTCAGCACTCTTTTGGCGGCATCAAGAAAAGCTTGGTGCAATCGCCTGTGTTGGCGATTGCAGACCAGGATAGACCATTTCATGTGGTCTGTGACGCCAGCGATTTTGCAATCGGCTGCGCGTTAATGCAGTACGACTCAGACTGCGTTGAGCGCGTCGTCTGTTATCAAACGCGTCAGCTGCAAGCGGCTGAGCGAAATTATCCGGTGCATGACAAGGAACTACTTGCCATGAAATATGCACTGGCTAAGTTTCGAGTACATCTCTTAGGAGATAGGCCCTTCACCATTTATACCGAACATGCGTCGTTACGCACGGCCGTAAACAGTCCACACCTCTTGCAACGAATGGCGAGGTGGCTGTCTTTCTTCGCGTAGTACAACTTCCCCGTCGAGTATAAACCAGGACGGCTTAACGTCGTCGCTGATGCTCTTTCGCGTCAGCCCGATTTCGAGCCGACTGCTCAACACAACAGTAGGGGTGATCCCACTGTAGCGACACTAACAGTGAGTGTTCCGTCGTCGAATCTGCTCGACGACGTGCGAAGAGCATACGAAGAAGGTGAGTCTCTTCTGCGATTAATGGATTACGTATCCAATCCGTGCAGTCAAGCTTTGAAAAGCTTGTCGTCTCAATACCGCTCTTCAACCGAACGGTACTCTGTTCGTGATGGACAGCTGTACAATACAGCAGTCAACGGCGACACACCTCGTGTCGTCGTTCCGGCTCATAATAATTGGCGATTACGCATCATGTATGAATGTCACGATGACCCGACAAATGGGCCTCGCGGTAGAGAAAAGACTTACCTCACGGTAAGTCGTGACTTTTACTGGTCTCGCCAGTATGAGTTTGTGCGCAAATAAGTGCGTGATTGCGAGGTTTGTCAACGAGTGAAGCTTTGTCTTAAATCCTGTGCATCATTGCAGCCTCTTCCGATTCCGGCAGAGTGCTGGCAGTCCGTAACGATGGACGTCGTCTTCAGGTTTCACGAAGACGTTCATAAGAATACGGGTATTCTTGTATTTGTTGATCGGTTCAGCAAGATATCCCATCGAGCTAATGTGGCCGAGTCGATCCCAGCCCAGGGGTCTGCACCAGTCTTCATGATACGATCTTCCGACTTTACAAGTTACCCCGTGAACCCGTGGCTGACGAGACCATCGCTTCGCAGCGGAGTTCTGGCAATCCGTGTTCCGTTCACTTAGACCACGTTTGCCGATGTCAACTTCTGACCATCCCGAAACAGATAGTCAGACGGAAGGCGTCAATCGCGTCCTCGAAGAGATACTTTGAGGGTAGGTCCACTCGTTTGCGAGTAGGAGTGACTTATTGCCGATGGCGGAATTTTTCATCAACAACTCGGTGCATGCGTCGACTTCACATACACCTATCTACGTGAATAGCCTACTCCATCCACGTTTACCCGCCTTCTTAGAGTGCTACTCTAGTTTAAGGGGGGGTGGACTCGCTCGAACAAAAACGATCTAGTTCTTTTCTTATCACACGTCGACAATGATGTAGACGTGATGGATGCCGATGTCGATGCGATCAGCATGAATGATGATAATGACGACGATGCTAGCATATTCAGCATCGCCAACGACTGCCACAGTGATGAAGATGATGCCCTCACTGGTGAATACAACGTTCTTTCAGCAGTGCACACAAAGCGCTCTGCTGTTGACAAGGATGAATCAGCAGAGGAATTTCCGCTGACTCGCGAAGCGGTTGTCCGCTTCGTTCAAGACTCAATTGTAGATGCACTGGACAGACAGAAAAGAAATGCAGACAAACATGGAAGAGCAAATACTCTTTCATTTGATGAAGGGAACATAGCTTTACTGTCTACAGTAAACCTACCGAAACACGCAGTGACAAACGTGGGCAGCAGTAAATTACTGCCCAAGTACATTGGTCCATTATGCGTGTTGCGCCGAATGGGAAACGCATATACGATCGAAATGCCTCTCAAGATGCGTACGCATCCTTCGTTTTACGTTGGTCGTCTCCGCCAGAACTATCAGTACGAGCCCGTTATAAGATGCGAAGAACACCTCCGCGGTCGAGAGCCGATACCACCTTCGAGCAGTCCCGTTTCAACGAGCCAGTCTGGTCAACTAGCGAAGTGAACTGTTCACGCAGTTGAGCGATGTCTCGACGAGCGACAGCCAGCTCAGCACGAAGAGAACGAGTCGAACGTTCGCTCTCAAGTTGTGTGAACGCAAAAGCGGCACGATCGTCCGAACGATCGTGCGTTAGGAAATTATAATTATCCCTCACAAGATCCTCAAGCCCATAACGCCGAGATCGTTCATGAGCCAGGTCATCTTGCAACTGTTCCGTTAGACGGTTCAGCTCTTGAACATAAAGCTGATCCGACCCTCAAGCCGGATCAGGTGTTACCGCCGCCACCACATCCTTTGGTGGACTCAAGCGGAGGTCAACGCTTCCTAGTGAAGCCTATTTTGAATCAACGCAATGTGAATGGCGTCCGGACGAGTTACCGCGTCCGCTGGCGTGGCTATCTACCGGCGTGGGACAG